TTTCCATTAAGCGATTAATTTACCTACTCGTAACTTCAGTCGAATTCATTATTAAGGAAAATAAGCTGCCGTTTAAAATTTTATTTATTTATTTTTTGTGAAAGTATTTCACTAATTTGTTGTTTTAATTGATACAAAAATTATAACAAATATAATTATAACAAACTTAAAGAAAAATTCCGTTTGTCGACTGGAGTAGAACCAGGGACATTTTTTTGCCTAATCGCTCTCCCAACCGAGCTACGGAACGAGTCAGTAGGCCTACATACAAGTTTCGTAATGAATAAATGAAAACTATATTCAAAGTTTCAGCGCGAAAACGGCTCGCTGACAGCCTTGTTGCCGTTCAGTCAACGTGACGGCGTCGAGTATTTTTTCCCAGTCCCAACTCGATCCGATTGCGATACATCGTAATATGAATGTATTTGCCGGGCGCCCGAAGTGTACTTAACGTTGAACTACAGTGTAGTGGACAGCGCAAGCGCAAAATGCTCTCATGTAGAGCGTGGCAAATTCTCTTTTAAATTTCGTTTTCTCTAGACAGGATGTACACACCATCTTTTTTTTTTAGTTTCAATTTGTGTTTCCAATACTTCGTCATCAAGAGCTATTGTAATGGCTGCCAACTCAAGTTGTGACAATTGCATTAATGACACAACCTTATCTCTGGAGAGAAAAATGGAAAATAACAAGAAAGTCCGGCCGGCGCACGGTGGAAACGACACGGCACTGTGACGGCCGGGACCTGGCATGGTGTAATGTGAATCTATGAATGACTGACTCGGCCGGCGCACGGTGGAAACGACACGGCACTGTGACGGCCGGGACCCGGCACGGTGTTACGCGAAGCAGGAAATGTCAAAGTGAGCAGCTATACAGTGGTTAGGAGCTAGCGTTAATCCATGAGGATCCACTCCTCTGGAGGCTACACTGACAAGAGCCTGCTCTTAAATAGGATGAAATAATGAGAAATGAAAAATAATATATAATAATAATAATAAGTAGATTTTCATAACAGAAATATGATAAAAGCGTGAAGGACTCATTGTAAATGAAATTTTAATTAAATTTATTATTTTAATTAAAATTTTAATAAAATTTTAGCCGTGGGGCGACGGCTTAAGAATACATTGTCGCCTCCCCATACATGCCCGTGGGGGTCGTAAGAGGCGACCGAGGGCGTCACAAGTGTCCATCTGCTTAGCATTGTGGTAGGCTCTGTGCCGACTGGATAGCGACCACAGTACACACGGCGGAAAACCCTCCACAGTGAAACGCTTTTGCGAATCGCGTTCAGGGATCAGTTGGTGTACATCCAGTGCATTTGGCCAGACCGGCAAAATGATAGTGACGGAGTGAAGATATTTGTGTTTTCCATCCGTTACTCTCATCTCTGGACTGTATTCGCACTTTCCATCAGGCGCGGTGCAGTCATTTTGTCGAGTCGCAATAAAAAAAAAAAAAAAAAAAAAAAAAAGAAATATACATTAGGAAATTAATAATAAAATCTCTAACATTCCTTTTTAACTAATTATGTTCCAGTAAGTTCATTGGGAACTGATCCAAACACCTCAAGCTATAGGTACACATTTGTTCGGTCGTCTCCAGTGCAACGGAACAAGATCGGTCAATTTGTAGCTTGATGTGGTACCTTGTGTACAATAACGGCATTATTTTTCAAAGTGACAATGGTCACTATCAGTTTGTTATATCGAATTAAAAAAACAACTATAGGTATCGTTTAAGACGCATTTCAGTTTTCATAGTTAACTAGCATTGACCATTACCACTAACATTGTATTCATAAACGCCCGGGACTTCCTCGTACAGAGCCAACAGCGAAAATAAAATGCAATAAAAAACTATTAAATAATATAAATTAAATCAAGAATTAGTCCAAGGAAGTACTGCTTCCTTACTTATTACTGCCGCCAAGCAGTAATGTGAGCATTACTGCGTTCCGGTTTCGAAGGGTAAGGGTGCTGGTGAAATTACACATGGGACTTGTCAGTTTATGTCTCAGGGCGTCGGGCGCAGTGGCAGTGCCCCTCAGATCTTTGTGATTTAAAGCTCTGAGTGGCACAACAACTGTTATGGATAGGCGTGTCGCTTACTACCAGGCGCAAGATTTGTTTCTCCCGTCACTTAGTATTATAAAAGAAAGCCACGTTGAGGCGACAGACGTTGGTCCGAGTCTAGTCGTATCGAGGGAATTTTCTTTTTTTTTTCGAAAAGCAAACGTAAAGCAGAAGGGATTTTATGATTTAGACCTATCACAGATAATATAATACTAGGATAGACCAGATGCAAAAGTAACAGGGGGCAATTCAAACATTGTCCATATTTAGAAAATCTGTCAATCGTTTTTATGCGTGTATGCTTGTACTTATTCCTCAGACACATTCCGTCTTGTATTTAGTCGAGCGCCGGCAGCGCGTGGGGCAATCGACTGTTATAGATCGTTTTGTATTTCCGTGTCTTCAAAGTAAGAATATATTGATTTTTAAACACAAATTATTGGATTTTTAACGATGAATTAACATGTGTAAGATGATAACTAGGTTTCTAAAAGGTCAAAGATTGTGGTAATATTGTAATATAGTTTTGAAGATAATAAATATTCTTCTCTAATACGTCCACTTGTGCAGTTGTAACACATATTTCGGAGGCAATTGTGATGTAACAATTGACCCACTGTTACCATTGACCCTGTGAGCATTTTTTAAATAATATTTTTTATTGTTTTATAAATCGACCAAATACAAATATTAGTGTTTTAAGATATATAACGCATAAATTGTTTATTTACTCATGAAATAGTTCTTAGCACAGCACAAACGTAAAGAAAACACACCTTTTAATTACAGCATATTATTTAAAAAAATGTAAATTAACTGGGCCATAGTGAAAATGCTGTAGTATCATTAATACGAGTAGATACCTTCTATTAATAACTTCATTTGCACCGCAGGCAGAGGAGAGGTGCGAAGAATAAAAAGCACAGGTTTACGGACAAGCCTTTCCTTAGGACATAGTCTGCAAACATTATAATGTTGTAATCTGTGATATGGTAACAGATACTTTAATATTATGCTCTGGGGGTAAAAGTAACAGAGGGGGCAGTTGTCGCAAACAACATCTCATTCAAACTAAAAACTAATTTTCGAGTATAAAATTTTGCATTTAAGGTAATTGTGTTTAGATTGGGTATATTAATACAAGTTTTTCTGGCTAAATTTCAAATTCCTGGCCATAAAAAGCATTGCCATTAAAATTAAGACTAGTATTTTTGTTTGTTTCTACATGTTTTTAATTATCAGTGTAATTAATAGCGTTATATCTCATTAACAAATCCCCCGTCTCCCAAAACCTTTAAAATCTACATTACTGCAAGCATAATATCGAATAATCACTAACAAATATTTGTAGCCAAATATATTTACCTTACCTTACACGGGAAATGTTTTAGGATACGTTAAAGCAGTTCCATAATCGAAGTGTGCGTAAAAAGTGTTACTTTTTGCCTCCGGTCTACCCTATACTAGAACCAAGATAGTACTCTGCGGCATAAAAGAAAACATGGGTTTGTTTGAAAAAACAAATAACTCAATTTAGATCCGAAAGAATAATATCAGTTCCTATTAGAGAAAACAGTTTTTTTGTTTAACATTATCTAGTGGCAATATGGAAAGTTTACGTTTTATGACATCATATCAACACTCCTTGAGAGACCCCTATATGTCCAGAAATGTTAATACTGTAGGTTGATTAGCAAAGCAAATAAGGCCGCCTGTTGTACAAACTTTTAATGTGTTTTCTGTGTTATGTCGGCTACGTGTGTGTGTAAAGCTATTTTTGACTTCATAGATATTAATTTAAAATCATAATTTCTGTTTGAGTTTACATATTTCCATGGACTCATTTCTTGCAGGTTCTTATATTATTTATACAATATCTCTTCTTACGTAAAAACCAGCAACGGTTAATCCCATTCTGAAAGAATTCATGTCTTATTTGTGTTACGTAAAGAGCGAGTCTTCCATTACAATTGTCTCGCATGTGACAAACATAATTTATGAAGTTCTTAATACAGAGATAACGATATTTACATACACCGAGCAAACAACAGACTCTGCTCTGTCTTAGTTTTGTGTACACAGATATCCGTACCTTGGGTAATTTCACAAGTTGATAAACCTAAAGACAGATAAAATATTTAAATAAAGCTATATTTTTTTATGGTAAAGTGGGTAGGTACTTTGGTCTGTAAAGTGAAGGAGTCCAAATTCCTAATTGACCTTTTGGACAACATAGATTTTACCTTACTCGCCCATAACCCGTTAACATCTTTGCAAATACAGCTATGATGATTATCGTAATTGTAAAATGTTAATTACAATTTGTTACTTTTTGCTTCTTGTATGCCATATTCTCCATTTTCTCTAATTAGCTTTTATAAAGTATTCGATAAATAAAAAATAGCCAATTCTTATCTATTAAATACATCTTTCATTAGATTTTAATGTGCTTACGTTTGTCGTTAACACTACGGCCCCGCCGTCTCTCGGTGTGGTCCTTGCTATCGCGGTACTAAGCCCAAGACTAGCGGCGCCTGTGTTCCTTCTCGCTAGGATTTGTCTTATCGAGCCTTCGGGATTTCTCCTGTTCCCCTTCCCTGTTCAAACCCTTCCCACTACTGTACTCCGGTAAACGCTCTTCGTTACGTGAATACACAAAATCTTCAACCTTGGCAGATTTAAGGAAAATTTTGCTAAATTTTCAACTAAAATTATCAGTCACAATTCAGTGATTAGCTTATTTGTATAATTTATTATCTTTCATTTTGATGAATTTAATCGATCTAATATTTAAATGTCGATTACTACGCTTCGGTTATCTTTCTACAGCAACATTATTCTTTAAATAGCAGTAATTATAGGTGTGATATTAAGTCCATTCTTCTTCATTATGTGTGTAATATAAATTTGTCATTGTTGCAGGAAAGACGCGAACGAAAGACAAATATCGTGTAGTGTACAGCGATCACCAGCGGTTAGAGTTGGAGAAAGAGTTCCACTACAGCCGATACATTACCATTCGGCGCAAGGCTGAACTCGCAGTCAATCTCGGGCTTTCTGAGAGACAGGTAATTAAATTTTCTTATAATTGTATTCTGACGATGATTATTATTGGTTATGCTGCGATATTCCGTACATTGAAAATTGTAAAAACTTGAAAAATGTTACTAAGTTGCAACAAAACCAAATTTATTTCAAGAAGCTCCGTACTTGATAATTTTCATAACTTTAATGATATGAAATAGATAATATCACACATGTAACGAGTGCACAACAAAAGGTATGTCGAACACTCATCATTTATCATTTATTTGGTAGTTTAATACCTAATGTCGTCAGGATATAATTTAATACGTATTATGTATAAACATTTAAATGATCACGCTGCGCAATATCGAACAAATAAATCATTTAGTGCTGGACTGTTTAATAATTGATTGATATTTTTGACATTTATACCTAAAGTAAAAATTATTGATTTTGTTGTTTGATTTTTTGCGCAGGTAAAAATATGGTTCCAAAACCGACGAGCAAAGGAACGAAAGCAAGTCAAGAAGCGTGAGGAGGTGGCAATGAAGGAGAAAGGAGATCACGCGTCGCTCCAGCATGCGCAGTTGCACCACGCAACTATGCTCCACCACCAGCAGATGATGAACGGTATGATGCACCACCATCATTATCACCAAGGAGTTTTGCAAGGCGTTCCTGATACCCTCGTACCTGGAGTGCCGCCTCCGGTTCCCCTCCTGTGACCACAGCAGCAAGATTATTCTGCCCACGGTGACACGTTCGCGTAGTGACTAATAAACTAGGTATGGTGATGATTCAGTTAAAGTGAACAAATTAATCGCTTAAATAAGCGTAATGAAGACTGCCAGTGCAGAGGGTGATTTATTTTGATCTTGGAATTTGTGATAAAATTGTAGTGCAATATTCTTGCGAGAATATTAACAATCGTGACGAACTATGTAAATCGCGGAGTATGAAATGTCTTAATACTCGTAGTAATCTAGGTATTGCTGTAAGCGGACACTTGAAACGCTCTACTTTTTAGGTTGTTTCGTATTAATGAGATTCTTATTAACATTAACATCAGAAATATGGAAGAACCATTATAGAAACAGTCTTAGAACTAGACTTTCTCTTAAGGCTTCATAATAAATTTAATACCTAAGTGTTCACGCCTTATGGCTTTTGATTTACTACGTTGGTAGGCATACGGATTATAATAATTTAAATGAATTTTGTCACTGTAAATATAGATACAATACGTATATTTTTATATTAATTATTATAATTAAGTATTATTAATTTGAGTTTAAGAGGTTGATTTATATTTCTCAATGTTATAAGTGCTTTTCTAAGTAATATTAACATTTATACTGAATTTATATTTATTGTTACAAGTGAATCCCTTAATTGTAAACTTTTACAGTTTATTTATAAAATATATAGTTGAATTATTATTATTTTTTGTGTTTAGTAACAAAAGTGCAAATAGTCTTCAGCAAAACTTTGAATCTCACGTAATTATCTAAATTTTACATAAAGAAATTAATATATTGGATATATTAAAGCACTTCTGCTATTGAGAGATGGATTATTTTTTACGTTGAATTGAGATTATACTTAGTTATAATTGTTCTGTATATAATAGCTTAAAATTTAGATTAACCTCTTAATTCCCAGTTTTTATTATTCTTGAAGATTTCCTCACCGATTACACCAAATAACTTTGCAAAAACAAAGTTTTCGTTGGTAGCGGCAGATTGAAGGCCTTATGGTGAAAAATTATGTGATTGAATTTATTGTTTATTCTATTGAATCCATTAGTGTTTTTAGATGCATTTGCAATTATTTTGTTTTCATTCCCAGTGTCCTTGTTTAATCTTTTATGTATTAATTTAGCAAAAGCTTTATATCTTAGTATACAATAGTTAATTATTCCAGTTTTGTAGTTTTTGTATCCGAAAATATATGTAAACGAAATGTGGTGCTAACATTATTTTCTTTGGCCTTAACTATTGCATTATTTGATAAACCTCTTTTTGACCAGTTAAACTATTAGTTAAGTCGACTGGAAACTTGAGAAAAAAGTTCTTCATCCATATTTAGAAAAAAGAAGAAATACAAGAAAGAGATTGGAGGGCATTTTTCTTTTAGATTTTGGTCAGCTGTACGGGAGCTTGTAAGTTTTTGTGCTTGATATATGGATCGTGTTGATGTTGGACTGTTTGTGAACACACGAGTTGTTAGTATGCACGAGCACTGTCACGAAATCACATTTTGATATACTAAATAAATTCATGTTAATCTAGTACTGATTTTTATTATTTTCCATCTTTAACGCCATTGGCAGTTGAAAGTACTTCAAGCTTCTCGTGTGATAATAGAAGAGCAATATGACTAAAAGTACTATTACTTAGGTAGTATTAGCAAAAGCTGTAGCAGTAGAGCTCCTTGTCAATGAGTTCGTCCAGGGAAGTACTGCCACTATACCTATTTCTGCTGCTAAGCAGTAATGTTAGTGTGAGTATTATTGCGTTCCAGTTTTGAAGGGTAAGGGTGTTAGTGAAATTACAGGCTTGTGGGACTTGTCGACTTATGTCACGGGATGACGGGCGCAAGGGCAGTGCTCCTCAGATCTTTGCAATTTAAAGCTCTTGAGTGGCACTGCAACTGCGTATGGACAGAGGTGTTGCTTACTATCAGGCACACGACTTGCACGTTCCATCAGGTGATATCATAAAAAAAACCATCTAAAATGGAATATTTCATTGAAATCGTTGATCACACTTTCAAGAACCCTTGTGCTTGAGGTGGTTCAATTAGTCCATTAGTGATATACATTTTTTTTAATGTTAAAACAAAAGGTGAGAAACAATCTTTACAGATGGAAGTATTTAAGAAAGAGAGTATTCAAAGGTGTTCTTAATTAAACCGGAAGTGTTAGTCTTACTTCTACGGGTTCCTCTATGGTGTTACCCACATGCATTCATAAAACATTGTTTGGATTTAAATTAGTCCTAAAACACGACCGTCAATATTTGTCTGACCAAATTTATTCGACATAGGGTTGTCTATTATGATAATTTAAAATATCTTTTGGGCGGCGATTATGTGTTTATGATTTAATTTTTATTTCTATATTTTGACGATGATGTACGTATATTTATAAAAAGTTATCTATTCAGTAACGAAATGTATAATGCATCTACTTTTACCGCGTATATTATCTTCGAAGAACTTCTCATTAACAACGGGTTTAGTGTGTGTCGTTGGGCTCACTGACAACCCTGATGTCGAACGGAAAGAAACGAAAGAATGCTGCTAACTGAAATGTACACTGATGCTTATTGAGGGCATTTGGAAGCCTGTTCAAAGGCGCCGCCGTTTGGATCTCGCCGCCTTGACGCCTACCCGTTCATGGATATCGAATTGAAACTTCTACAATAAAATTGGCTATACATCAAGCTGTATTTGAAAATTATTTAAGCTACAAATACCACAATTTTCTGCCGCCAAGCAGTAATGTGAGCATTACTTTGTTTCAGTTTTGAAGGATAAATTAAGGTGCTGGTGAAATACATGGGACTGTATAATGTCTCAGGGTGACGGACGCAGTATCTTTGCGATTCAAAGCTCTCAGTGGGCCTGCAACTGTTATGTATAGTAATGTCACTTAGCACCAGGCGCTCCGTCATTTGCTAACAAAAGTAAAAGAAACCATCAACTGCCAATTTCAAGTAGGGGAGAGCGGGCCTGAATGATCCGATTTTCAAATAACTTGCAGTTTTATACTGAAAATGAAGGATTTGATTTACAACATGTGGACATGTTGAACAAATGTTTATCGCTTTTTGTAATAGTATAGTCACTTCTACTAATATCTCAATAGTCTTTTTCATAGAGGCAAATTTTTGACGAATTTCGGAGCGGAACATTCAGCCCCGCTTTGGGGCGCGTTGTTCCGCCTTTGAGGCAAATTGTTCCGCCTAGGTTATGACAGAATAACAAAGATTTTCTTAAATAAAACCACCTCTTTGTATAATTGTACGTATGTAATGTTTATATTATGCACAACTAACTTAAAAAAAACAACTACATTCTTATTCATCAGTAATATTATTCATCGCTCATTTCTTCATCTGAATCACAGTTGAGACACACATAAGTGACTCTATCATCTTGTCTAAATATTTGACATTGATATTGTAGTTTGGCATCCTTAAAACAAAGAAAGATGGTCATAAAAATTTAAGTATGATTGCAGGTCAATTGGGTAAGTTGTTCCTAGGAACAACCAGCCCCTCGAGGGAGGAACTTATAGCCTATATATAACCCCTTATAGCTTATATATAACACCAAATTACGTGTTTATACGAAGAGTGACATACTGGCAAAGTACCTAATAGAATCAATCAAAAAAATACTCAAACAATAAGATTCCTTACTAATGTCACTACAATTTAGAAACGTTACGTATGAATCGGCCCATAATAAACATAGACAGACCAAAAAATTGAAACAAGAAAAAATTTACTATCATATTTTAACAGCTCGACACACATAGCCACACGTCGTCACCGGAGTAACGAAATGGTTGCCGACAAGACGCATCACCTGACGCTTTAACGACGCGCTTCACATGTATTGCTACATATTTTCCTTGCAAAGTTATTGCTGTGAGAACAACTTACCCCGGGAACTACCAGCCCCGGTCTCCCCTATTTACCTATATCTATAGCATTTAAGAATTTAATCTAAATATTTTATGGATATCTAGATGAAATTGTATTGTATTTGGTGTCCATAGCGAACAAAACATTTAAATATGCTGTGATCAGAGATGGGCAGTGGATTAAAACCCAACCAACCAACCAACCCGGGTTTTAATATCACAATATCTACCTTGCAAACCTGTGGATTCTCACTACTAAGGATGCATTCGCTGGCAAAATCCCCAAAATAATGCAGTTTAAAAAAAAACTGGTTAGTTGTTTAACTTCTTTCGACGAACTCGGTGGCCCAACGGTTTCTACTGTGGGCACTGGATGTGGAGGTCCCGGGTTCGATTACCGGTAGGACCAATTTGGAAAATGAACTTTTCTAAAATTGGTTCTGGTCCTTGTGTTCTGTGTAGTGCCCCGGATAGTGAATTCCGTTAATCTGGTACTCATACTACAGGGGATTCCCTAGTTTGAGACCAGGTAATTGGTGTGGTTGTTTGGCACATTGTTCAAATTATATTTTTTATTGTAGGTCTATTTTGAGGATAAAAAATTTGCCGATTGTCGTTTTTAATTTATTTGTTTTAATTTCCTACTAATAGGTTCATCGAGTGGTTTGGAGTTGATTTATCGTTCATGTAAATTAAGTAAACTTTATTTCAAATGTTTTTATTATTTTTTAAACTTTTTTACACCCAAATGTTTGTGCAGTATTGATTGTATTTGACTCCTGCCTATACCTAAAGATGTCCGAATCTGTTTTGATCATACAGCGCACAACATCGATGTTTTTGTTGTTCATAGCAGTGGACGGGCGACCATCACGAAATTCGTCATTGAGATTCACGCGACCGCGTTTGAATTCTGAAAACCAGCTATAAATAGTCGTCTTGCATGGTGCTTCATCGCCAAAAGCAGTTTGAAGCCGAGCGAAGCTCCGCTGAGCTGTTGACTTACACTTAAAGTCGTAGAAAATGATACTACGAAAATTTTCAAGAGTTAAATCCATGGTGATGTAGAAAAACAATTTTTAAAATAACGCCACATTGTAAATACAAGTGACAGTCAGATGAAACACTGTATTCTACAAACTGTATTCCACAGCCAAAGAGTTCCATTTTCAAATGTTGTAATTATTTTTTAAATATGGTTTATGTAAGTGGCCAGTTCCGGAATTTTATAGTGCGCCTTACGTAGCACATGACCACGGCCTTGCCATCCATATTGAACTCGAACGACGCTGATAGCTTTCAGCGTAAAGCTAGGTTATTATTACATATAAAAAAATAGCGATATTATTATACCTATATAGATACACGTAGATTCGTATTTAGCGAGAATTTTTCAAACCCTCTATTTTTTTATTTATAAGTTTATCCTGTCACCCCGAGACTGCCTGCAAGAGTTTACTATCTAGCAACAAGGCCATCTTTTGTATCCTTCTTTTGTCTTTTGTTTGTTTCTGTATTATTTTGTTCTTGGG